AGATTGTATGAGGGGTGCCTGGGTGGCTCAGTCAGCTGGGCGTCTGCCTTCAGCTCAGGTCATGATCCCAGGGTCCTTGGATCCAGCATCTTGTCGGGCTCCCTGGTCAGTGGGAAGTCTGCTTCTCCCTCTCTCTCTGCCCCTACCCCCACTCATGCTCTCTCTCTCTCAAATAAATAAATAAAATCCTTAAAAAAATAAAAAAAATTTAAAAAAGAAACAGATTGTATGAAAAACAAAAGTAATGAATACTCAACATCATCTCTTTCCAATTATTTCACTACATTTTATTATTACGTAAGCCCTTGAGATTATTTATGAGATTATCTCTGTGGTATATAATGGCATATTACTGCAAATTTCTTCCCACCTTTGTGTTCAGTGATTTAGCAGCCTGAAATCAGCTATGATGGGAGTATTGGTACCATGGAAATTGATAATTGCTGCAAATTAGGAATACCTCCTCCACCCTACCTCCAGAGCCAAATGTTAAATATTTACCAGCGTTAACAGTCTTATCTTGCCTGGAATTTTGCAAAAGCCTCCCAGCTGGTCTGGGGATCCACGATTCCACTACCTTAGCTAATGTTAATGTGTTGTTGTTGTTGTTGTTTTTATGAAGATCAGATTGCAAGACTTTCCTGCCTAAAGCTCCCCAACCCCATTGGCTTCTAGGGAATGTGGGACCTAGGTACCTTCCTGCCTTGCTCATCCCTTGCCTTTCTTCCTGTTCCCTGAGCCACCTGCTAAGCTCCTCCCCACCACAGGATTTTTTTTTTTTTTTTTTTTACTGATTCTTCTTATCCTTCTTTCCAAGACAAGATCAGCTTTTTCTCATGTTCAAGTGTCAACTCAACTATCACCTCCCCAGAGACGTTTCCTCTGATCATGTTCTTGACACCCACCGCCCTCCCCACTCCCAGATCCCTGCCCTTCTCCATAGCTAGAGGTTTTTCTCTTCCTTGTAGCCCTTTGCACCATTTTAATTCATCTTGTTTATTTATCAGTTGACTTGTCTACTTTCTGTCTCTCGCTAGAATGTGAGCTCCATCAAAGGAAACCCTTTGCCTTATTCCTGGCTGTCTCGCCATCACCTAGAACAGTGACTGACACATAGTAGGTACTGAATTGAGGTGAACCCCAGACCACCCAAAGACCCATGTGGGGGCCAGCCACGATCAGCCAAGCCTCAAGCCTTGTTTTAATCCACTGAGTTTTGCAGTGGTTTGTTATGCAGCAATAACTGTTCGATACAGATTCTTTTGTGGGTTTTCCTTTCTCTGTCCAGGGCTCCAGTACTGGCTTTCTCTTGTCCCCATCCACATGCAGCTCCCAGCTCTATATGCTGTGTGTGGTCATCTCTGTCCTGAAGTTTCAAACCCCCACTCGTGTGCTTAGCTTTCCAGTCTGTGTTACCCACACTGGCCTCAGTGTCTGAGCTTCACAGAAACAGTCTCTCCACCTGGACTTCCCTCAGGCTTCTCAAATTCCACATGTCAATAAACAAGCAACATCCTCCCCAAATTCCTACGCCCTACATTTTCATTCTCCTGTGGCTCCTGCCCTAGTGGTGTCACTCAGGCCGGGAACAGAGGCTCACAGGTGGTAGATCCCTATACCTCACACCCCATGGTCACCAACCCTCACCTACTTCACCCCCTAATTGCCCCTCATAAAGTATCATTGCACCTCCCTCTCCTGCCACCGTCCCATTCCCAAGCCCTGTCACTGGAGCTATTACAATGGTTTCCCAACGTAGTGGGTCCCCAACCAAGCTAAGCATCACTACCACTGGAAAGAGAGTGCCAAGGGAGTGATGTCAGCTGTCATGGATCACAAACCTCTCCCTGAAGTCACCACCACCCCCCACACAGCATGCCTTTCAGTATCTGGCACCAAGTGCAGCAGTGTCTGTGCAGACCCGCAGACCCTGAAGCCCAACTCTCCTCCTCTGACTAGCCCTGAGACATTGACTAGGTCGCTCAACCTCCTTGTGCCTGTTTCTTCATCCCTATAATGGAGATAATAACTGTACCCCCTGCACTGAGTTGTTCTGAGGGTTAAATAATTTTACCTGCATGTAGGGCATCTCAAACAGCACCTGGTACATGACAAGATGTAAAAACATTAGATATTGTTACAATGGCTTTGTTTCCATGTGACATTCTATTCTGTCTGTCATTTATCACCCTTTCACAGCTGTTGATAAAGCAAAAGCTCTTTTTACACTGTAAGATATTCTCATCTCTTCTGTCTACTCTTTTACTATCTGTGATTTAGTAATAGAAAGCAAAGCACCATCATGAGTAAATGGACCATACTATGTAATTCTTCTTGTATATTTAGGGTTTCCTATTAAGAACATTCTATTTGTTTTTAACACACAACTAAAACCCACTATGCCCCTCCATCTCCCCACAGGCACCCCTGTCCACCTAATCTTGGGGTAGTTCCTGTTTTTCCCAGACACACCTTGGGAGAGTGCAAGGCCTAAACTTGCTGATGAGGCTGAGCAGCACCAAGGATGAGGGTCTGTGGGCACAGCAGTGGCTGAGAGAGTCAGGTCAGGCCAGGCGGCAGGTTGGCGGGGGGGTGCTGCCCTGGGCCTAACAGAGCCTGGTGGAGGGAGGACAAGGAGCAGGGAGGGAGGAAAGGCAAAGGCTCAGGCCAGGCCACATCTCCATACTGAAACATACATTGTGTTGAGGCCAAACCAAACGTTAGATTATGGGAGGGAACAGAGAGCCCCTTTTTTGTAAGTACCCCTCATGCCTAGGAACTTTGCCATTCTGTAATTCATTTAACGTATTTACAGAACATGCATTTACTGAGCCTCTACTCTATGTAGGTGTTGTGTCAGGCTCTGGGTCACAGTTGCCTAGAAGATACGACTGTGACCCCTCCAGACCCTTCAGGCATGTATCTTTCTGCCGAGTTTTTGTGGTGAGCAGATGCTTTTCTCTGCCAGAAGGCTTTCTCTTGCTGACAGGGCATGGGACTAGTTAAAGTCCTCTCAGAGGAAGCTCTCAGTCAATGAGGAGTGAGGGTGGGGGATAAATAACCCACCTCCTCACCCCTCAGGTAGGACATGTCTGGGATGTGTTCCACACGGTTTCCCGGCAGGCCCAGTAATACTGAGCCTGGTTGCCCACACCAGTCACTTGCTTGATATTGTGTTACTTGCCTGATACAGCTCCCTCCCATTCTACTTCTCTACCCATGTGTCCTGTGATCACCCCCAAATGAGTCACTTGAATCCAAACCCCCCTGTCAGGATCTGCTTCTGGGAAAACCTAAACAGTGAATAAGATGAGGGTCTCTGCCTACAGCAAGGTCCTCAAGGGCAGTTGAGTCTTTACTGGGTCTGTGTATCACTCTAGGCTGCTTGCCCAGCCTGCTAGTGAATACCAGGCACTCAACAAACACCAATGAATGAATGAATGAATGAAGAACAAATGAATTTCCTCTCTAAAACCCAGATCGTCCTAGAGGGGTACACCCATGTCAGAGAAGTTAACTGGCTTACCCATGGTCAATTAGAACTAGTTGATATGCCAGCCAGAGGCTGAGATTCTGGATTTTTATTTCAAGTGGAGGCTCACCACTGGAAAAAGACTGAGTGTTGAAAGTTAATCCAGGTTAATTCCCACTGATTAATCATTAATGTGTTAAGGAACTGCTGAGATTAAAAATAGGAATGAACGGTTTAACTTCAACTCAACCCCTCTACTCCCTCACCACAGCTTGTATTTTCCACATCTTTCTAACAACAACTAGTACATTGGTGGGGGGTGGGTGGTAATGTGAAATTGTCCAACAAAAAGGTATTAGGAACAGAATTCTGCAGCCACAGGGGCCTGGGAAGTGGTGTGGAGCAGATTAGGCTGCAGCAGCCCTTTTGGCTTTTTGGAAACCTTAATTTGAAAGAAGCTGGCTTTGGCTCAAGTTCAAAGAGTTGGCCTTAAAAGACCCCGATATAATGGTTAAAACCAGGCCTAAAATTACCTTAATTCAAAGACTTATTTGGTTATGAAGAGACAGTAGTTAGCTTATATTGAGGGGAGGAGACCATATTATGAAGTACTATTTGCTCAGTTTTCCGGGAAACAGGTGAGTTTGCTTGGGTCAGACCCTCTCACCCTCTTCCTTACACGGAATAAAACACCATAGGGTGGATAACATTTATTGCTCTGCCAGCCGTGCCTTGTAGGAGTAATTCAAATAGACTGTACTCAGTTGTACCACCCCTAAAAATGGGTGCAATCACATCCACCCTCGACTCCTTGTGCACCTTCTGGCCTTTCGATCCCAATTCCTCCATTTGCTCAAGAAAATCCTTTCTGGCCATCTCTCTGAAGATTACAGCTCGTCCTCTCGGGGCTGATCACCAGCCGAACTTGTCCTCACACCCTGGGCCTGGAGGCGCCACTGCTTGGGGTAAGTTACTGGGTTTAAATAAGGCTTTCCTCCCTGCTGTTGGCGGGTTGCGCAACCGCGCTCAGGGTGACACCCACCGCCACCTCGGCCTGCCGAGATTCAGGGGCGCAGGCTCGGCAATGCCGGGATTCGAACCTTCCTCAGCCTGCCTGGACAGAGCCCGCCCCAAGGCAGCGACTGCGAGAGGCGCCGCGGGCCTGGAGTGGGCGGGGCTGACCGGCGCCCCCCGCCCCCCTCCGCCTTTGGCTGGGCGTTTCGGCCCCGCCCCGCCCCCGCGCAGAGCCGAGCGCCGCACCGCGCGACCCCGCCCCTCCCCGGCCCCGCCCCCCGCGGCTCCCCGCAGCTCCTCCCCTCTCCCATTGGCTGAGGCGGAGACCCTCCTCTCTGCCCAATGGCCGCCGCCGCGGCTCGGCCGCCTGCGCTCTGACTGGCCAGCGACCCACGGAGTGGCGGGGCGCGGGCCAATGGGGAGAGGCGGCTCGATGAATGGCTGGCCCGGGTGGGGAAGGCAGGAGGCGGTGATCCCAGCGGAGGGGGCCGTTCGCCAGCTCCGAGGCAGAAAGTGCCACGACTCCACACGCGCGCACGCAGCCAGCGAGCAGCCGGAGCGGACGGCGGACGGGGCGGACGGCGTCGGGGTCGCGGCGCCTGCAGCTGCTCGGGGGCGGCTTCTCAGCGGAGGCTTGGCCGGCTTCTCTCTCCCGGTTCCGCGGCGGCGGCGGCTCCTGCCCTTTCGCTCTCCCTCCCGCGTCTCCGGCTGCAGGTAAGAAACTTGGCCGGGCCCTGCAGCGGCGGCGGCGGCAGCGCGCGGGCCGGGCCGTCGGGGCGCCGGGGCCGGAGCCGGCAGCGCCGCGAGTGACACGTCTCATTGGCGGCCCCTCCCCCGGCGGCGCCGCCCGCCGCCTGCCGTCGCTGCGGCCGCCGACCCTCGGGGTCGGGTCGGACCCCGGGGGGCGTGTGCCGGGCGAACTCCGTGCAGGGGCGGCGGCCGAGCGCGCCCCGCGGTGTGGACCTCACGCCCCTCGCCGTCGGGGTGGGGGGAAACCTGCGGCGGCCGGGCGGTGCGACGTGGCGACCCCTCCCTCCCTGCGGGCCGTCGGAGCCCACTCACGGCACTTCGAACGCTCCGAAGTTGGGCTAAGAAAGTTGGCTGCGGGGCGGGGCGGCGCACAGCTGGCGGAGGAAGGGGTTAAGTTTCGGGAAGCGGCCGGATGACGTTGCCGGGCTGGAGTCCGGGCTGGAGGGATGGGGGGGCGGGCGGAAGGGGGGGGGGGGGGGATTGAATCCTTCACCACTTACT